TATATATATATATATCATATATATACATATACGTACACACACACATATATACATATTTATACATATATATAAGACAAGAAGAAACAAGACAAACTATTACGCAGCGTCGATAACCCATTCCCCTGAAAGGGAACAGGGGGGTTCCAAGAGGACGCGTCTAAATCACCTCTGCCTGGAGGGCTGGTGGGATTTGCACGACGTCTGAGCGTGGCGCTGAGGCGAGAGCCGCATTTTGAGAACGATCCCCCTCCATCTTTGGAACTGCTGCAAGCTTTCAGAACGAAAGAGCGCGGCGCTACGGCGAGAGCCACCCTTAGAAAACGACCCCCTCAATCCGTGTTAGCGTTGGAATTTTCATGTGTCAGAATCACCCTGTGGGAGGAAGCCTCCGACGAAACGCCCAGCCCGCCCCGGCGACACGTCTGGCGGTCAGGCGAGGAGCCGTGTTCTATCTGCCGACCCCCGCCTGCCAGGGGTGAGAAGGGCGTGCGAGAGGATTGACTGCCACTCCTCCCCCTTTCCCCCTCCCTTGGGGGTTATACCAGGAGGGAAAAAACACACAGACACAAGTAGTCGTCGATTCCCCAGAAAGTATGGGAACATATGGGCAGTGGGGGGAAGACAGGAACCCAGAAACTATGGGAAACTATGGGGAATCGTTTTATGTGTGTGCATTTATTTGTGTGTACCAGGGCCCCCTCGTTGTAATCCTGTTGGGGGGGGGGCGGCAGGGCGCCCCCGTGGCTGGGGGGTGGTCGGGGGGACGCGCTCCTCGACGCACTCTCGGGGCCCTCGGAGCTTCAACATCAACCCTCCCGTGGCCGCCGAGACGCCCACGATGCTTTCTGAGATGGCCCCAGAACAGGGTTCATTTCGATTCCTCCGAATCGATTGTATTCGATTTCGATGGCTTCCGATTCCGATTCGATTCGACTTGGGATTCCGACTTGGGCTCCGATTTCTCATCGGCGGCATGCTAGCTTGCCGATTGCCGCCGATTCGACTTTTCCCGACTCGGCTGCCGATTCCCGCCGATCCGATTATTTTCGATCGCCGATCCGACTTGTCGACTCGATTCTGAGCTTTCCTGCCAGAAGGGTTCCGACGCACCATGGAGGCCTCAAGAGCACCTCAGGTAGCCTCGAGGCGGTCCACAAGACGCCGAACGAGGGCCCCAGGAGGACCTCCAGAGGCAAACCGTGTGGACTTTCCGAAGGTTGCATGATTTCCGTGTTCTTGCCTTCTCGGGCGTCTGCAAACCCGAAACGGCGCGAGAGGCTCCACGAAGTGGCCCAAGATGCCCACGAGGCCCCCGAGAGGGCCCAGACACGGCCCGAGAGGGCTCGACGGCCGAAGGGACCCCTCAGACGGGGAAGCAAACAGAGGCCCCAGGAAGGGCCGAAGAGAGGCGCAGGCCCAAGGGGGGGAACCCGCAGGGGCCCCAGGGAGCCTTCCCTCACGAGATGGCCCCCAGGACCCCTGGCAGACACGTCGTCACTGCCAGTCTGAGTACTCCTCCTCCTCCTCCTCCTCCTCCTCCTCCTCCCCCTCCTCCTCCTCCTCCTCCTCCTCCTCCTCCTCCTCCTCCTCCTGGGCAAGAGGGGAAGCCACGTCGGGAGCTTCTGGTCACGGAGGGCAGGCCAACTCGATGGATGCCCTCGCTGTCAAGACTTCCAGCATGACCCCAAAAGGGCCCTGAAGACGCCCCCAGAGGGCCTCCAAAATGGTCCCTGGAGACATGAGAGAGTGCCAAGAGGCCCCCCCCTGGGCCTCCAAGATGCTCCCAACAAGCTCCCAGAGGCCCCCAGGAAGCCAACAAAGCCCCAGAGGCCCCAAGAAGAACAACCATACCTGGCGAAAGACCCAAGCATATGCAATTGCGACTGCAGTGTTGTGGCACTGCTTCCGGTGGAGCTCCCTGTGGAGCCACGCACCGTGTGAGGGGTGCGCCCAAATGGGGCGGCGCCGCCATGCGAACCCTGCCAATGCGGCCTTCGGTGGAGCTCCCTATGGGGCAACGCACCGTGTGAGGGGCGCGCCAAAATGGTGCGGCGACGCCATGCGAACCCTATCACTGGGGCCTTCGGTGGAGCTCCTTCTGGGGCCACGAACAGTGTGAAGTGTGTGAAGTGTGTGAAGTGTGTGCAGTGTGTGAAGTGTGTGAAGTGTGTGAAGTGTGTGAAGTGTGTGAAGTGTGTGAAGTGTGTGAAGTGTGTGAAGTGTGTGTGTGTGTGTGTGTGTGTGTGTGTGTGTGTGTGTGTGTGTGTGTGTGTGTGTGTGTGTGTGCGTGCGTGCGTGCGTGCGTGCGTGCGTGCGTGCGTGCGTGCGTGCGTGCGTGCGTGCGTGAGTGTGTGTGTGCGTGCGTGCGTGCGTGCGTGTGTGCGTGTGTGTGTGTGTGTGTGCGTGTGTGCGTGTGTGCGTGTGTGCGTGTGTGCGTGTGTTGCGCGCGTGTGTGTGTGTGTGTGTGTGTGTGTGTGTGTGTGTGTGTGTGTGTGTGTGTGTGTGTGTGTGTGTGCGTGTGTTTGTGTTTGTGTTTGTGTTTGTGTTTGTGTGTTTTTTTTTTTGTGTGTGTGTGTGTGTGAGAGAGTGTTTGCGTGCGCACCAAAACTGGGAGACGCCGCCATGCAAACCCTACCACTGGGGCCTTCTGCTCCCTACCGGGGCCACGAACCTTCTGAAGGGTGCGCCAGAGTAGAGCGGCGCCGCCATGCAAACCCTGCCACTGGGACCGTCGGTGAAGCTCCTTATGGAGCCGCGAACCGTGTGAGGGGTCTGCGAAAATGGGACGGCGCCGCCCGCCATGCGAACCCTGCCACTGGGGCCTCTGGTGGAGCTCCTTCTTTGGCCACGTGCCGTGTGAGGGGTGTGCCAAAATGGTGCGGCACCGCCATGCGAATCCTGCCACTGGGGCCTTCGGTCGAGCTCCTTCTGGGGCCACGGAACCGCGTGAGGGGTTCGCCAAATTGGGGCGGCGCCGCCATGCGAGCTTTGTCGTTGCGGCCTTCGGTGAGGCCCTCCATGTGGCCACGAACCGTGTGAGGGATGTGTCAACATGTGACGGCGCCACCATGCGACCCCTGCCACTGGGGCCTTCGGTGGAGCTCTCTGTGGGGCCACGAACCGTGTGAGGGGTGTGCCCAAGGGGGGCGGCGCCGCCATGCGAACCCTGCCAGTGCGGCCTTCCTCTGCTGGAGTTCCATACAGGGCCTCGAACCGTGCGAGGGGTGTGCCGAAACAGACACATGCGGAGGGCAGAGGCAGGGATGGGAGGAGTGAGGAGGGAGGCAGCGGGAGGGAAGGAAGCAAGGAGGCGAGGAGCGCTGTCTCTTCAGAGCGAGGACCCTATATCACAGGATGGTTGGGAAGAAGAGACGGAGGAAGAGGCGGACGAATCAGCAACACTGACACGCAGGCTGCCAGCCGAGAAATCGCCAATAAAACGCACGACATAAGACGCTGCACATGTTCTCGTTTGCCGTCTGTTTCGGGGGCCGCCTCCGCCGCCGTCGCCGTCGCCGTCGCCTCGTCGTGGTCGTCGCTTCCGCGGCCTCCGTCGCTGGTCCGCGGGCGGTCTCGGGGGCCTCCGTCGCCGCCGGCGCCGCTTTGTCGATGTCGTCGTCGCCGCGGCCTCCGTCGCTCGATGGCGGGTCGTTGTCGCCGTCGCCTCTTCGTGGTCGTCGTCGCCGCGGTCGCCGTCGCTGTTGCCGCCTCCGCCGCCGTGGCCTTCGCCACGTCGTGGTCATCGTCTCCGCGGCCTCCGTCGCCGCTCCGCGGGCTGTCTCGGCGGCCGCCGCCGTCGCCTGCGGGCGGCCGCGGTGGCGCTCTGCCCCCGCGCCCGGCCGCGCGGTCCCCCTCCTCTGTTCCTATAGCTTATGAGCGACTCCTCCCTGTCTCGGGTCGGGCGAAAGGGGGGGATTGGGAAAGGGGGGGTTACGAAATTTGCTGCATGCAGCTGGTTTTGGCCTCACCGAGGAGCCCATTCCTCGATACATAGCCGCCTCCGGCGCCGGGAGGCGCCGGGAAAATCAGCTACGTGAGCTGATTCTCAAACCCCCCCTTTGCTATCCCCCCCTTTCGCCCGACCCGACTGTCGCACCCCGAGGCCGGTCGAAAGGGGGGGCCGCGCGCTTCGCCGGAGAATTTTCTCACCTTTTGTGGCCCTGAAGCTTAAGACCCAGCAGCGGTTTCACAGAGGGGGGGCGGGCCGTTTTCAGACTGTGGCTCTCGCCTTGGCGCCGCGCATGTTCGGCTTACAAGTTCGCAGGAGCTTCACGTATCGAGGGCGGGTCGTTATCAACATGTGGCTCTCGCCTTAGCGCCGCGCACAATTCGTTTTCAACAGTTGCAAGAGTTTCACATATTGAGGGTGGGTCGTTTTCAAACTGTCGCTCTCGGCTTCTGGCGGCCGCGCATACTCGTCTTAACAATTTGTTAGAGTTTCACGGATTGAGGGCGGGTCGTTTTCAAAGTGTGGCTCTCGCCTTAGCGCCGCGCGCATTCGGTTAAAACATTGCAAGAATTTCACGGATCGAGGGCGGGCCGTTTTTAATTCGTGGTTCTCGCCTGGCGCCGCGTACACTCGTTTTCAACATTTGCAAGAGTCTCACGGATTAAGGCCTGCTCGTTTTCGTTTTCAAAATGTGGCTCTCGTGTTAGCGCCGCGCACAGTCGTTAATTTTTTTGCAAGCGTTTCACGGATGTTTATGGTCAACGTGCCAGGCATATTGGTTTGAATTTCCAGGAATGGTGTTCTCGCGCGATTCAGAATCGTTAAGGCGCAACAGTCAGTTTGATCCGTGGCGTTGGAGTCTCGAGAATGGTGTTTCGGCTGGCTTTATGGTATTCATACGGTTGTCTCACAACGAGGCAGTTCCCTCAGTCGAAATGAACCCTTGTAGGTGCCCATGAAGAGGGAGGAGCTTGGAGGGAGGGTTTATTCAAGCATCGTTGACGAGTCTTGGGTTTACACTGGTCCTCCTCCTCCTCCTCCTTCCCTCGAGGTCGAACGCATCGCGGCAGCGGAACCTGGAGTTCCGCACGGAGCTGGAGAAGCAGATCCAGGCTCCTTCAGAGGTCAGCAACATATGTACACGTACGCGGTTAGTTTCCCCTGGAGCGCGTGTCAACGCGGACGTTCGTGCAGGCAAGACCGCGGAGGGCGTACATGTACATATGTCGTTGCTCGCCCACTCCTGGCAGGGCTGCCTGCGACCTGATTCGAGGCGCTTCGATTCGCCGGCCGGGGGCCGCGATTTCGACGCGGTAGTCGACGCGATTTTTGAGCCTCCGGCATCGGCCAGGGCCAGCCGGAGCCAGGCGCGGCGATCCGGTTTCGATTCGATTTAGAAATCCTTAGGGGGAATCCTGCGGCATCCTTCGGGAATTCTTGGGAATCCCTAGGGGATCCGTGGGAATCCTCGGGGGATCCTTCGGACTCCCCAGGGAATCCTTCGGGAATCCCTGGGGAATCCTCAGGACCCACTAGGGAATCCTGAGGAATCCTCTGGGGATCCTCTGGAATCCACTTCGCGACTCGATCCAGCTCCAGCCTGCCTGTCTCGTTGCGGTCTGGACCCTTCGCTCAGCGTCAGCTGCGGCAGGTCCGCGTCGTGTCGACGCTGCAGCGACCCTGGTGCCAGTGTTCCAGGTTGAACGCCGCCAGTGGCCTGGAGTCGACCGGCGTGGAACGATCTGCGCTTTTCGGGAAGCGGCGATCGTGTACTCCAGATCTCGTAATAAAAGGGAGGGGGTCTGGACCCTCCAAGACAAGCCATTTCAGACCCCCCCCCCGTGGGAGAACCCTCCAAAACATCGTCCCCAGACCCCCCCAGGCCCTCCAAGATAGCCTGGAAGAGACCCCCCCCGAAATGAGGCCCCCCTCCCTTTATTACGAAATCTGGAGTAGGGTCGACCGATTCGCGCGCTGGCAGAAGCCAACTCGCGAGTCGTCACGAGACGAGGCTGCCGCGGGGTCGTCGCGTCCACGACCACGGCCAGAGAGAGCGTCGCGCGGCATGCAGCAGCGGGGCACCTCGGAGAAGAGGGACTGGCAGAGGGAGCCGGCAGAAGTTCAGGAGGGAAAACACACACAAGACATAATTAATCGTCGATTCCCTAGAACATATGAGGACATATAGGAAGTGGGGGAGAAGACAAAAATCCAGAAAATATGGAAAAATATGGAGAATCCTGTTATCTGTGTCTATTTACTTGTGTGTCCCAAGGCCCCTGCAGAGGTGTGCAGCCGACGTGGGAGCCTCCAGGAAGGGCCCTGCTCTCGAGGGAGGCGACGGAGTCGTCGTTCTCTTCTTGCTCGGCGGAGGGCGACGGAAGGCCTGCGGGAGCCCTGCGGCAGCAGAGCCAACCCTTCCAAGAGATGGAGGAGGAGGAGGAGGAGGAGGAGGAGGAGGAGGAGGAGGAGGAGGAGGACGAGGAGGAGGAGGAGGAGGAGGAGGAGGAGGAGGAGGAGGTACATGTTCCGCCATGGGGGCGTGCAGCGTTCCAGGATCCCCCTCGAGAGGGACAGGGCTGTCCAGGCACAAGCTGCCGGGCGTCCGCCCCCCCAAAAAGACGCGGGCATGCGGTGCGCAGCGCCCGCGACGGCGTGGTTCGCTTCGGTACCGCAGGCAAGGGTAGCCTTCTTTCGGGCCTGTCCCCCTGCAGGAGGAGCATTCAAAAGTAGCATGGGGACGATTTTTGGCTTACCTTCGTTACTTTTTGTTCTGCATGTTTCTTGTTTGTTTTTGTCTATTATGTCCAACCATCCTGCGGTGTTGGGTCCTCGTTTTGAAGAGACGGTCCCCGCTCTCCTCCTCTCTCCTCCTCTCTCCTCCTCCTCCTCCTCCTCCTCCTCCTCCTCCTCCTCCTCCTCCTCCTCCTCCTCCTCCCTCCCCTCCCTCCTTCCCCTCCTCGCCTGTGCCCTCCGCATGTCATTGTTTCGGCACGCCCTTCACACGTTTCGTGGCCCCATACGGAGCTCCACCGAAGGCTCCAGTGGCTGCGCTCGCATGACACCACCACACCCATTTCGGCACACCCCTCACACGTTTCGTGGCCCCATGAGGAGCTCCACCGAAAGCCCCAGTGGCTGCGCTCGCATGACTCCACCACACCCATGTCGGCACGCCCCTCACACGTTTCGGGGCCTCATAGGGAGCCCCACCGAAGACGATACCAACAATTGCGTTACGCACAACTGCATATGGTTGGGTCCTTCGCCAGGATAATTGTTCGTCGTCCAAAATCCCCCTGTAGGAGGACACGCCCGACCTGACCGTAACGACGTGGTTCGATTCGGTACTGTAGGCAAGGGTAGCCTGAGAATGTGCCCGCGCTTCTGCACAATAGAGATCCGTTCTTCAAATGAAGGATCACACTGACCATGACCAAGATGTTGCGGGATTTTGCCGACGTCGATCCTGGTCATGGTCCATGCCCGCCGACGTCGGCCGTCGTCGGTCGCGAGGATGATCCACGAACTGACGCTGACCAAGAGGACGGTGACCAAGGTTGACACGATGCTGCCGCGTTCAGTCTTTGTCATGGTCCCCGCCTTTCTCTT